TGTGTGTGTGTGTGTGTGTGTGTGTGTGTGTGTGTGTGTGTGTGTGTGTGTGTGTGTGTGTGTGTGTGTGTGTGTGTGTTACTGCGATACAATACTGCTGCGGGCGTGCCGCAGCATGTTGCGTCAAAACGCATGGTTATAACAGCACTTGAAAATGAGCCGGAAACCTGGCATGCCCATGAGACGAACGCAAAAAAGGTGATGGGAAGGCCAGGAAAGCAACAAGACACCGGACAAGCAGCGGGCAGCAAGGACAAAGGCTGGAGGGCATGGGGGAGGCGGGCGGGCAGACGGACAAACACAAGCCTACACAAGCCTAAGGCAGCAAGCCACGAAAGACAGCAGAGCACAAGACATAGGCTGGAGGGTATTGGGTAGAGAGGGGGGGGGAGCAGACAAACAAAACAAGCAGCAAGGCACAAAGACATTGAAGCAAAAGACATAGGCTGGAGGGTATGGGGGAGGCGGTTGGGCAGACAATCAACACAAAGCCAAAAAGTAGCACAACAGAAGAACAACAGGCAGAAAGAACACCTGAAGAACAAGGCAAATATCCGTGCTTGCACGGAGGAGGGCCTTGGGCCCAGATGTTTGGATGTATAACGACAAGTACATAACTGGAAAACAAAAATTAAGAATGGGAAGGGAAAAAAAAAAAAAAAAGGATGGTGACAGACTGTTTCGTTGGACTTGGGCCAACTCGTCAGGAGGTTGAACCCTCGACATTCTGCGGAATCCACATATTGATGATTTGAGTCATGAGCTCTTTAACCCCTGTTCTAAGTGGATAAACACCAGCCAAAACAAGAGGACCCATAGGCTGGAGTGCATAGGGGAGGCGGGTGGGCATAAAAACAGTACAGGACAGCGAGGCAGAAGGCAGCAAGGTAAATGGCGCCAAGGCAAAAGGCAGCCAAACGACTAGGCAACCAACATGGAAAGGGGCTCGTTCCACTACCCTTGACTTGAGAAAATATCAAGGGCAGCACCGTTTCACTATGCCCCTTCAGATGCACTAATCACGATTGATAAGGGATTAACGTTCCTGCCATAATAAATTCCCGCTCTGAAAGTGAAGGGCGGCTGTAGTGCACCCAGGCAAACTGGGCCAATTTTTGAGTCACCTCCCAGCAGTGACTCGAATTTCCTTGAAAAGGGCGCTCCCTGAGATGTTTTTTTGTTTTTGTTTTTTTTTTTCTTTTTCTTTTTCCAACTACAGTTGTCTGGGCCAATAACGGACCTGTGTGGTTCACCAAGTGAAGTAGCAGTGAAGCAGCAGGAGCCGCACATATTCCCGCTCGTTTTTTTCAAGGAGAACTGTAGGGTGTAGTGGAACGCGAACGAAGTCCAGTATTTTTTAATTACGTTCAGGTTCAAGGGTGCGTGTAGGGCGACTCTTGAGATTTTTCTCAAGTCAAGGGTAGTGGAACGAGGCCCAAAGAAAAGGGCAGCAAGGCAAAGGACGGCCAAATTGCCAAGCAAGCAGCACGGAAGACAAGGCAGTAGGGCAAACGCCCATGAAGCAGGCAAAAAGCAGCCCAGATGACTAGGCGAGCAGCACGGAAAGACAGGGCAGGAAGGCAAGAGGCAGTGAGGCAAAAGGCAGCAAGGCAACAGGCGGTGAAGCAACAGGCAGTCAAACGACCAGGCAAGCAGAGCACAAGGCAGGAAGGCAAGAGGCAGTGAGGCAAAAGCAGCCAGGCAACAGGCGACGACCAGGCAATCAGAGCTCAGAAAGATAAGGCAGCGAGATAAAAAGGCAACAAGGCAAGAGGCGGCTACATGACCACACTAACAGCATGGAAAAACAGGGCAAAAAGGCAGAAGGAAGCAAAGCAAAAGGCAATAAGGCAAAAAAGCAGCAAAAAAGACGGCCAAACGACAGGGTAAGCAGCGCAGAAAGACAAGGCAAGCAGATGGGCAGCAAAGCGGGAAGTCAGCACAGACAAGACATTCCACACCAACCAACATGTACCAAAGAAGCTCATCCCTACTCAGACCACAGGTAGAACACTGTAGACTGTCAGTTGTCGCCACCGTTGGGAGCCCGGAAGCAACTCCGACAAACGTTTGTCATCACCCATGGAACATGCACCCACAGACATCCTGAACAGAGCAGCCCCCCTAACACTGTTGCAGGCACTCCAAACAAACGAGCACTGACTATTTGGCACTTCTTAGAGGTGCTCGCTTAGACAGAAAGAATAAGAAACAGGAAGAAAGATATTCCTACTGTGTATGTTAAGTATATGTGCATGCATGGGGCGCACAATGGCATGAGACCCAATATCACCAGATCTCCAAAGTACTACATCGGACTACCGTTGGAACAAAAACTTGTAGGCGTGGAACAGACACATACCATAGTGGATGGTGGCAAATGACTATGCTGAACCATAAGCAGCATCTGTGCTCTGAATGCAGCTTGCAGATGAACCAGACCACACACAATGTTACGGCACAAAACAAACACAGAAGTAGCTACAGACTTCGTCGAACTTACACCGACTCATTAGGGGCCTGAACCCCCCAAAGTCTGCTCTATCCCCTCACAGTGCTTTCAATTATGACCAGGTTCAAACCCTGATGCGAATTGGTGGACACAGCAAACCATGCAGCACAGCATGAACAAGCCAACTTATTCCACAGCATAGTGGGCATGCAGCAAGGCAAGCAGGTGGCCAGGCCAGTGGCCAGGCGGGTGGGAGGGCGGGTACACCAGCAGAACAAGGCACTCAAGACAATTGAACCAGGCAGCAAATACTAAGGGAAGTGGGCGGGCAGGCAGGAGGGCAGGCAGGAGGGTAGGCAGGGGGGCAGGCGGGAGGGAAGGCGGGCGAATGGGACACCAATAGAGCAAGGCAGAGAGTAACACAAGGACCCATGAATGCAGCAATTAGCAAAGTGGACTATCACCACGCACATCATATGGGAAACCCAGCAGACTGCAGGTTCACGCCACCATCAGGAGCCAGGAAGCCACTAGATGAACGACTGTCACCACTGGAAAACACAGACCCAAGCGTCCTAAGCACCGCAGTTCCCCTAATAGTGTTACAGGCAACAACCCAAAGAAAACGAGTATTTGCGAGTTCGTGCTCATGTTCGCGATACACAACTCCACGCAAAAAAAAAAAGCATGACTGTGCCAGACTGTTTCGTCGGACTTCCACCGACTCATCAGGAGGTTGAACCTCGACAGTCTGCCCAGGATTCATTTGACTGATGGAGGATAAGGACTCACCACGTCGTCAAGACTTAGTGATACCCCTGAGGAAAGTGGTCGACTAAGTACTCGACTTTACTCGCACCAACCTGGCAATCCTAGCAGATTGTCAATCCAAAACTCTGACAAGAATGACAGCAAGTCTGTCACAGCCATAAACCCCCTCTACACACCCACTTGTCTGTGTGTGTGTGTGCATGTGTGTGTGTGTGTGTGTGTGTGTGTGTGTGTGTGTGTGTGTGTGTGTGTGTGTGGGTCCATATCCCTGCTTGTCTGTTCTACCATATGCCAGTCTAATTGTAGATCTGTCTGTGTCTGTTTGTTCATGTGTCTTGCTTGTGCTTTTCAACTTTTTCTCCTTTCTCTTTTTAATATCAAGCCAGGTAAGGGATTTCCTCCATCGGCTGGTGGAGTGGAAGAAGGGATTTCTTCCAAGGCAGAAGGATGACGCGAGTTGCTTGACGCATTCCAACCGCGCGATGTTCTCTAACTACGAAGGCTATGGCTGCAGCATTCATGATTATGAATGATTTCATTATCTGCTAATAGACAATGGAGCAGCGGGTTCAGTGACTGTCAAGATTTTTTTTTCCCTTTCCCCTGCAGCTATCAAAACGTAAGAGCATTCAGGGAAATTGTACAGTGGTCCTTTTTTGCCCGTCGCTTTCGTTGACAAGCAGCGTCGGATAAATGAAAAATTATTATGCTTCCGTCCAGGTGTTCAAATCCTGTCTCTGTTGGTTGGGTTCCATCTCAGTGGACCACCACAAAGCTGATTGTTAATCATTGATGTGCAAAGATTATATGATCAGCATGCATCAAAGAGGGGACTAGATCAAGCTGTCTGCTAAGAAGATGAATGTGCAATGTGCGCATACCACACAAAAGATGTCCCTGGTGTGAAGACCATACAAAGTGCCGCTCCTGTCTCCTCCTCCTGAAGGGACTGCCAGAGACCCCTTGTAATGGAACTCCTCCTCCCCCTCCCCCTCCTCTCCTACTCCTCCCCCCCCTCCTCCTCCTCCTCCTCCTCCTCCTCTTTTTTTCACTTCTCTGCCCGCTTCTGTTTTCCTCCAGTTGGCAAGTCTGTAAAGAAGGTAGTCGAAGAATACATGGGAAGGAGTCCGTAGGGGCTTTTTTCTTTTCGTTCTTTTATCTTTGAAGGGGAGGGGAGGGGAAGGATTGTTTTAGTCGTCGGTCTTTCCGAATGGCCTTTTTTCCTTTCGGGAGGAGTACACTAACAGCCGACACAGGTTTTGGAAGTGGCAAAACCAGTACGGTCAGAATTCAGCTTGAGGTGCAGCTGCCGAATCACATGTCTGCACCAGAATGTGAACAGACCCAGGTGCATTCTGACTGGGCTAGTTTTCTCCTTTGATTCAAATGCAGGTCCTGCAGGCTATTTTTCTCCTTCGCCATTTCTTGTCCCTTTTTCCAGGCGGTGGGGGGTAGCGCTTGGGAGGCAAGAGGATGACCCAGTGGCTGCTGCTGCAGTTTCAAGTCCAAACTTTGGGGTTGAAAGGAGCATTCTTTCGAATCTGACATTTAAAAAATCATTTTTTGTCGCCAAGGAGATAGATAGCATCCCAGTTGCACCAGTGCTCTTTACTTCCTTTTCAAGAAAAGAATTGGAAAGATGCTTCACTGCTTTCCAGCATCATTTTCTTCATCATTTTCTTCTTTATTTTCTTCATCGTTTCCTCCTTTTTCCCAACTTTTCCCCTTTCTCTTCTTCTCCTCTTCTCTCTTATTCCCCTCCTCTTCCCCTCCTCTTCTTCTCTTCTTTTTGTCATTTTTGTTCTTCTTTTTCCATGGATTAAATTATGCATGCACTCTTTCTAACATTTCTATTTGTTTTTCTCAAAAAAAAAAAAAAATCTTACAGTTTTCATTCTTTTACAAATCTATCCCCCCCAAACCTTACAATCATGATGAGGAGCTGGTTGTGGGATTCCGAGGTACACCATATCTGACCGCCTTGCACTTTCTCTGTCTAGGCTGAGCCCAATGATCATTAATTGCTGTCCACATCTGTCCATTATTAGAAAGGGAATTAGCTATAGTTACAAAAGAAGAAAATGGAAGGGAAAAAGAGGGAAAAGAAAACAAAAAACAAAGGGAACTAAGTATAGTTATCGTGCACAAAATGCATTCATCCATTAGGCAGTGTTAACTATAGTTACTATTAATTAGTAATTACTAATTACCAAACATCAATTGTAGGCAGAGTTGTGGTGTTTAACTGTACAGATAATTGCAGTGGTTCAATGAGGCAACAAATATCTTCACCTTAATAGAATGAACGGTCATTGTTAAGGTATACAACTATAATGCATGTACATTCTGGTCCAAGAAAGATTGTAGATGGATAAGCTTTAAAACCAGAATACAGGGACTAAAACTCTCGAGTCTCTAAGATAGCTATAGTTATTCGCTTAGGTGTTTGACTATGGACATAGTGGCAGACATGCCATGGGTGCCTAAATGGATTATCTTTTTTTCAATACCCTTGAATAAACTTTGGGATAGTTGTACTTGATAATAGTTATTTGGTTATTGATTTCATTCATTCGGTGTGGTGGCACTATCTTTGTGCAGAGATAAATAGTTGTAGTGCCTAATTATCAGACTTAATGTATTTTTCATTTAGTGGTTGGCGCTATATTCCTATGGCAATTTAGTGATTAACGACATGCATGACATCTGTAACTACAAAGATAGATAGCTATACGTTAAAGATGTATGAATCTAGGTATATCCATTTAGTGGGTAACTAATGTAGCTATTTAGGAAGAGTATATGCCAACTACAAAGCTGGTTCTGGTGTGTGGCTATTACTGGCTATATAGAGCATGCTATTGCTCTTGGTTTGTAAATTACACGAGCATAGTTCAAAGTTAATATAGATACATTTGCTTTACTGTTAACAACGTAACACCATTACGTCGTCTAAGAGTCTATTGCATCATATGCATGTGTGTCTATGTGTGTGCTGGCACAAGTGCTTTCTACATTGGGGTGCTTACATACGCATAAAGGATATAGGATTGTTTGGTAAATTGTCATATGTCTATCGTACTATCACTATCAAAATTTCATGGTTATGTTTGCAAGTTTAATTGCTAAGTGTTTTTTCAGATTGTCGATGCTATCAGACTTTGTTTGTTTGAAAGACACTAAGTGTTTGGATATACACGCAGAGGACATGTATGTTTTGCGGCACTTGTGATTTGTCTATGGCTCTCATATTTTTATGGCTATATTTTTGAAATTTCAATAGCCAAGCACTTTTCCACATTGTTTATGGTTATCAAACTTCTTTCTCTATTTGAAAGTCAAACTTTGGCTATTTGGCTATCGAACTTTGGATATTTGAAAGACGTTTGCAAGTTAACAATTGCAATCACACTTGCAAGGAATGTTATTGAAGGGGTAGCAAATTTCTTTTTTAAGTTTGAAAAACATGTTAGACGTCTGGAGAATGGATTATAGAGTATAATTAACCAGAACTTACACGATGGGTAAGTAACATTGATTTTTCTCTTCTTCTTTTTAGATAGTCAATGCATGTTATTCCGAGATGCAAGGTGGAATATCCCCCTAAGGAGGACCGCATGGCGGCGGTCGAAACCGGTCGGGGTAGCCATTATCCGCCAGCACATAGCAATCAAGGGAGTATTATGTGTACTGAGTACCATCGTCTTATGGCAAAACATGTGTTTCATGTGGCAAACCATGTGTTTCATGTGATATTTTGTCTTAATGATGGTGTTTATTCTCAAATCAATGACATTTCAAGATACCACTCAATACAACACTGAGTTGTAATTCATTTTATGGTGTTCAAGTTTTAATTATTAAATTCTAAAATTTGAATAGCATACGATAAATTACAATGGGTAAGTACTAAGTAGCACGAAAATGTTGAGTTTGCAGTTTTTTATGATCAATATATGTTTTATGGACTTCGATCATCATTTATGCATAATTTCATTGATTGATTGAATTCAATTTTGTTTGTGAATTTTTTTTTGATGATTGATATTTATTTTACGAAGCACTTACAGAAAAAATAGATTCTAAGGGATAAATAGGTGAATGGTTTTTTGTAGTAATTATTCCTAAAATATAATGAATACTAATTTTTTCCCCAACTTCTAAACATAGGCGAAGCATACAATTCTTTTTAAAACCACTAGTGCGTTTCATAATCATTTTCCTTCGACTTCGCTATTAACGCATTGTGGCTTCCAAGACACGACCTACCACAACTAAATGGCTAGTAGTACTAGCTAAAAAACAAAACGCGTCGAACGTCAATGCATGACGTTTTCTGACTCGGCAAGGGGTTAGTGTCGTAAGTACTGGTGGTTTAAGCTTGTTTGATGTACAATTTATTTAATTACTTAATGCAATTTATAATGTGGATTGCATCATAATGATAATTCCTTGAAAATCAGTTATTTGTTCAACCAATAGTTTAATAATAAATTAGTCAAATAAATAGTAAATTGTTGCATGTTTGATATGTCGTTTATGCAATTGCCCAATTAATAATAAATTTGGCTAGGAAGATTCTCGTGTACGGCCGGTTCTGCCCAACCGGGCACCCGGGCATGCAAAAAATAAATAAATAAAAAATTGCGCTCTTCTAGAGCTGTCTCTTATACACATCTAGATGTGTATAAGAGACAGGGGTAAGGGAGGAGGAGGAAGGGGAAGGGGGAGAGG